CCACACTTCTGACCTGTACCACAGTTCTGTAAGCATAAATAAATAAATCTTTAACATACATTATATATCAGATTGAATAACCAAGAACTGCAGATATTGGAATAATTATATATGATAAAATAACTGTTACAAAATTAGCAGTTAAAATTTCCTATCTGTCCAAATTACCAGTCATTTAAGGTATATTTTAAAAAGGGAAAAGTTAAACTCAAAACTAAGCATATAGTTTATACACAAAGTGAGCACACCTTATTACATACACCACAATTAAGTTCAAAAATAGAATAAAGATGTCTCTTAAATCATGGAAGGAAAGCCTGAACAAGAAATTGGAAACAAAGTGTACATAAAAAAATTTCTGAAATACAGCAGGAAAGTAAATAGACATAAATTGTGTGTTTTCTCACTAATTTAAAGAGGCCATATGTAAAATTCAATGAAATTCCAAATAAAATACTACTATGGTTTTTCAGAATATATGAATATTGACCCTAACATTTACTAGGAAAGAATCAGTCAATTAAATTTACTACATCAACAAAAGAAAATATACAAATTATAATATCATATAAATACATGAAGAAAAAGTAATAAGATTTGAAATTAATTATGATATTAAAAAGGAACATATTCTAAACCCATACTAACATCATACTCAACTGTGAAAAACTGAAAGTCTTCTTTCTGAGATTTAGTAAAAGACACAACATCCATTTTCAGCACCATTAATCAACATAGTATTGGAATCCTAGATAGAGAAATTAGGCAGAGAAAGATATAAAAAGAACACAAAATGGGAAAGACAAAGTAAACACATAAAGTAATTATATATAAGTGTGTGTGTGTGTGTGTGTGTGTGTATAACCTTAAAGACTCCATTAAAAATTATTGGAAACAATAAATCTGTACAGGTAGTTTGAAGTTATAAAACCAATCTATAGTACACAGTTGTGTTACAGTACAAAAACATGAAACTGAAGAGAAGGAAATTTTTAAGAATCCCCTTTTCTATTGCATTCAAAAAATATTAATTACATAAGAGTAAGCATAACAGTGAGGTGAAAAAGTTGCACAATGAAAATTATAAGACATTGTGAAAAGAAATTTAAGACACAAGTAAACAGAAAGGTACTCCCTGCTCATGAATTGGAGTAGTAGTCAAAATAAGCATCTTACCCAAAGCAATGTACAGACTCAATTTAGTGCCAAAGTTTCAATAGAATTATTTCAAGAAAAAATAAACAGAACTGAAATTTCTATAGAATTATAAAATACCCTGACTAGCCACAGCCATCGGGGCAAAAAAAAAAAAAGAGCAAAATCAGAGGTATTACACTCTCAGACTCCAAATTATGTTATAAAGCAATAGTAAACAAGACAATATGGAACTGGCCTAAAAATAGACACACAGAATAAGAATTGAAAGCAGAGGAATAAGTCCACATTTTTATCAACCATTAATCTACCACAAAAGAGAACCAAGAGTGAACATTGTAGAAAGAACTATTTTAAACAATGAATTTTTTTTAAATATGCATTAATGACTTGGATGTTAAGACCAGAAACTATAAAATGTGTGGAAGAAAACAAAACCCATGACATTAGCTTCAAGAATGTCTTTGGTGACTCAACTTTTAACATCAAGAAAAAAAAAAAAAGCAAAAGAACAAATGGAACTAATCAAACTGAAAAGCTTCTGCACAGCAAAAGAAATTATTTAAAGCAAAAAGAACAAAATATGAAAATAATGCCTAATGGGGTTTCCTACACTTCTATAATGAAAACAATGATATAAACTAATATTAACTCAATTGAAAAAAATAACAGACGCTCAACTGAATAAAAGAAAACATGGCCCTCCCTGGTGGCACATCGGGTTAAAGCAAAGCACTGAGAAGCTAAAGCCACTTCCGCGTGAGTTCGATTACTGCCTGCCCCGGAGGTGACCGCATGGCATGGCAGACCACTTCCTGACCCACCGGCTGCTCCCCTCAGCAGTGTGCTTTGTCCATCTGCCTGTTCTGTTCCCCACTCTGTCTCTAGTGAAGCCTCTCAACGCCCCTGACCCTGTTCTGTATGCACAAATAAATAAATCTTAAAAAAAAAAAACAAAACATATTTGCCAAGGTTTACAAAGAACATGTGATACCATTTAATAATCAATGCTATCTTGCATATGTACACATGTAACAGGGTATACAAAATTTTATATTATGAAAATACTATGTACTATCATGTAATATAAATAATTTAGTGAAATTATACATCAATATATGATTAACTGGAGAGGAATTTATTTGAAGGGAAAGTAAGTGAGAGGGATATCCACTTTTTACACTAGATGCTTCCTCACCTGTAATTTTTATGGGAAAGCACTAATGCACTTATGTAATTTAAAGATAACAAAAATGCCTTTATGAATGAACAGGTAGATGTAAGTTGAAGAGGGAGTGTATACATTAAAGAAAAGGAAGACAAAAAAGATGCAGTCACTAGCAAAAAAGGCTAACTTTGTATTTTCCTTATCAGTTTGGATATAAAAGTGCAACCCAGGAACTGAAAAAAAGTCAGTCCCTCTCAGAGAGGACTGATTAAGTTATAGACTGCTCTGATTCTGGGGACCAAATCAGGCTTCGTAGCCCAGGAGAGAAGAATTAGAAGCAATTGAAAAACCTAATCAGGCTCACTGTTTAGAATGCCAACCCCCGACAGAGAGATTTTCCCTGATTTTGAAAGTCCTCTTACTGCCCTGATGATTCTTCTTCCAAATGACCAATTAGTGACCCCCAAGAGGGCATTGCCATCAGTGACTGCTATCTTGTGAGAACTATTTCAAAGATCTAAAGCAAATGCAATTGAACCAGTGTTTAGTATGATTCAGAATTATATAGGAATAAACTTAATATTTAATCATCACTGGAAAGTAGAAATAGAACAGTCATCAAAAAAAGTTGTGGAAAACATTATTTAAGCATGAATTTCTTTGCTCTATACGTCCTCTTACTTAGCAACTTGTTGACCAAATCATTCAAATTCTCTTTTAAAAAATATTTTATTACTTTCATTTTCCCTACTCCCTAACTTTATCCCAGACTTTAAAATATCCAAAAGAGGCCCCTCCCTGGTGGCTCAGCGGGTTAAAGCACAACATTAAAAGTTAAAGCCACTTCAGCAGGAGTTCAATCCCCACCCCAGAGGTGATCCACATGGTGCAGCAGAGGACTCCAGGCCCACCTGCTGCTCTCCTCAGCACTGTACTTGTCAGTCTGCCGATTCTGCTGCCCACTCTGTCTCTGTGAATTCTCTCACTGCCTCTGCACCTCTGGCCTGTACCCCAGCTATGTATGCATAAATAAATAAATCATAAAAATATATACCCAAAAGAATTTTATAGCAATAAAACAGAGATTTAACCTGATTGCAGACGGCCTTGTTGTCTGTTGTAAAGACATAAATACTGAGATTATTATGAATTTATCAACAGGAAATGGATTTAGATTAATGTGAAAGAAAAGATAGCAAGTTTTAGTATAGTGTAATGGTTGAAAAGCCAAAGCAAAAGAATAGAATCATAAAACTGCTTTGGGAAAAAGCCAAGTAATCTTAATATTGTTGATAACTATAAACAATCAGTTCTGATTCTAAGGATAAGTTTTCATTTGCATTTAAACTTATAGACTTTCAGAGAACTATGTAATCATAAAAGACTGAGGATTTCTTTCACATTTATGTTTGAAAGAGATAAATTCATATAACTAATATATGAAACAATATGGATTGTTTGGAACAATCCAAAAAAGACATAGTCCCTAATTTCACTTATCAGTTACACTATTTTGTAGGATATATTCAAAATTTATTGTAGATGCATTAATATGAGCTAGGTCCTGAAAAGAGAAAACAAATTCCACAAATGATCTTTGCCATCTTCAAATTCCAGTGAAAGTAAAATGCACATATATGACCCTCAATTATACCTGTGCTAAATCCAATAATAGAAATTTAAATGCTATAAAAATCTCACCCTGGACTTTCTGTTTGTGTTTCTTTTATGTTTTCTCCACCATATTTAAAATATCCCATTAAATTCATCAAATAGAAATGGACATATACTTAAAGTGCTCTTAACAATTTGATATTCTCCAGATTATCTTCAATTATGAATACTTTCATAAGAAAAGCAATATATCACTCTTAGTTCCAACTAGTATCTTAACAAAATAACATTTCCTCCTCTCCAACTATTTCTTTACTTTTATATCATTCTTCATTTTGTGCATTTTTTCATTTCAGTTGTAATCACCATGGGCTTCCTACCACCATTTCACCCGTGTACCATCAACATAGTCCAGAGCACTCTTCTCACCCCAGTTCTGATTCTATTCCCTTTTCCACACCCATAAAATGTCTCTGGTTTATAGTTGTTCATTGTTTTCATTTTTTAACTCTATTACATTTGTTTCTCTCTCCCCCACCCCCACTCTGACTCCATATGCTCTTGCTATGAGTGAAATTATCCAGTATTTTTCTTTTTTTTTCCAGTTTGCTTATTTCCCTAAGCATGATCCCTTCCAGCTACATCCCATGTTGCTGCAAGAGGCATGAGTTTGTCTTTTTTTGATTGCTGAATATTCTAATGAATTTGTGAGAATTATTGAAATTATAAAGATGTGATCTATGAAAAAACTCAATAATAAGAATTAAACCCATGAGTACTTGATTTTAAAAAAAATAATAATAATGCAATACTTTGTAATTTTCCCAGGACTACATAACTAAGAAACTACCAATTTCTTTTCCAAATATAACTTCCTAAGACAATAGTAGTTAGTTGATACATTTTTTAAAAAATCTGTACCATCTCTCAAAGGACTTTAGGACAAATACATTTTTTTAAAAATCTGTACCATCTCTCAAAGGACTTTAGGACAAAGGATAGATTCGGGTAGGAACTAGGCAAGCAGAACTAACTAAATAAATAAATGTATGATGTTACTTACTTTATCTCTGGAGAAGCTGAAAAGTTGTTTTCTTGCAGCAAAGAACTGGACAGCTATCACACTGGCTGAGTGACCCCAAAGGACTCCAACTGGCTTAGAGACAACATAAGGATTCCAAAGGCAAACTTTATTGTTAATGCCAGCTGTTGCTAATCAGAAATAGAATTTAAAAAAAATGAATAAATATTGCACAGTACTTTCTTTTGAAAAGAGCTTACCACATATCTACAGTTTGGTAGTCACCTTCTAAGCACTGATGTGTTCTGTTTTAAAGGGAGAAAAAAATTGCCATTGCCCCAAGGCCCAGGCTAATAGGGAAAAAGATCCAGTGAGCACTGGAAACAGTTGAAATGGAATAGTGGTGAGAAGGGTGTATGGATTATTTCAAAGACAATTCAGTCCCGATAAGGAGGCAACCAACCAGCAGCAGGCTGGTAGAGACAAAGCGTGCCTGTTAATACTAATATTTTCACTCAACACAGCCTAGCGGTGTTGAACATGGAATCAGAACTGGGGTGGGAAGAGTGCTCTGGACTATGGTGATGGCACATGGGTGAATTGGGGGTGGGAAGTCCATGGGGATTACAACTGAGATGAAAAAATGCACAAAATGAAGAATGATAATTTAAAAATATAATAAAAGTACATGTTATCACAGAAATAAGAAATGTTTGAAGTTTCCAAAATATTTAAAAACTCAAAGAAAATGAATAGTTTCACTGCCATGTAAATAACTCAGTATTTACATGGAAACAATCAGAACAAACACACTTTTGGCCTGCTTGATTGAGAAAAACAGCATTCTTGAAAAAAAAGTGGTTATATTCAGGGAGCTCTTCAAAAGCAGAGAGCACAATGCTTCTTAATATGCTTGGAATCTCGTGACAAATTCTGCATTTAGGATCTACTGTGGAGTTGAGATTTTCACCATTGTTATACCAGATGCAAATTAGTGGCCAGCATAGAGGGATTTGAATAAACATATTCAATCAGTCAATGAAATGGATGATATATGAGTCCTTTGAAAATCCTGTCATCAATTCTCGAACCTTCTGTAAAAATCTCACTTTTTATAATGCTTGAACTAACCATCAAATTGTCAGCTTTCATAATGTCTAAATCTTTTCCTTAACTATGTAGCACAGGAAAAACATAGCATTTCCTTAGCAAAAAGATACACCTTGTATTAAAAAAAAAAGTTGATTATATGAATTTTTTCCAAAAACCTCTTGAGACGTTTTATTCAGAAAGGTAATTTTAAAAAGTTCTTCATGGGCTCTCCTTGGTAGCACAACAGGTTAAAGCTCCACATTATGAAGCTCTCTGAAGGCACTGCAGCGCAAGTTCAATTCCCGCCAAGGAGCTGACCCACATGGTGTGGCAGCCCTCTTCTGACCCGCAGCTGCTACCCTCTGCAGTGTACTTTGTCAATATGCTTATTCTGCTCCCCACTCTGTCTTTGGTGAATCCTCTCACCCACCACACCTCTGGCCTGTATCCCAGTATCCCAGTTCTGTAAGCATAAATAAATCTAATATATATATATATATATATATATGTACATATATGTGTGTGTGTGTGTGTGTGTGTGTGTATAATTCCTCAGGACCTCCCTGGTGTGATAATGAGTTGAAGTGTAGCATTGCAGATTGCAGATGAGCCAAAGCTGCTTCAGTGCGATTTTTGATCCCCACCCCAGAAGTGATCCACATGACCACAGCAGACCTCTCCTGTCTCACCTGCTGCTCCCCTCAGCAGTGTACTTCAGTAGACCTGCCTGTTTTGCTCCCCACTCGGTATCTGGTGAGTCCTCTCACTTGTACCTCAGTTCTGTATGCATACATAAATAAATATATCTTAAAAAAAAAGAAGAAAAGAAAAATGTTCTTCATTTTTCTGTTTATGTGGGTGTGTGTGAGTTTAATAGCAAGGAAAATCATGTATTTATTGGGGTTCAGCGTTTGGTGGTGCTAGAACAATAGCAAAACAGCAAATGCTGCACAAACTCTCTTCTTTCTCTGTATCATTTTACATTTACCACCAATTCTAATACAAAGACTCACTAAGGCATGGGGCGCTTTCTCATATTTTCAACCCAATATAGTTTATATACACTGCACATCAAAATGCATTATTAGATATTCTCAGACAATAAAATGTTAGTTGCTCAAGTTGGTCTCTCTGGCACTAAAGCAACAAGGTAGAGACAATCCCTGCATATAGATATGCATAACCAAGCTATTTATAAGGCCCTCATAATTATAATGATTTATTTTACATACCAATTAAATTGAGCTGAGAGTGGTAATCAAAAGCATGGATACCCTGGGCAATGTTGAAGGATGTCATTTTAAAGTGCTTTTTTGACTTCTCTCTCCACGCCAGCACCATGGACTTCATATTGCTGGCTGTACTGGAAATGATAGCATCTAAAGATGCATTGTAAGTAACTGATAAAAAAGAAAGAAAGAAAAGAATCTTTAGCTGATTTCTCACAAGATATGAGAAAATTGAATAATGCTAAGTATAAAGTTAAAAATTAAACTCGGATTATAATAACACAATGCAATACTTACACAACACCTCACTCCCACTTCCCCCCATCTCCCATCAAAGAACTTAGCAGAAGTTACAATAATTTCTGTATTCAGACTTTTTGGGCAGATATTTTGGTTTTTGTTTTGTTTTGTTTTGTTTTGTTTTTTACAGGAAAGCATGGAAGAAAGCAACATTAATTCTGAAGGAGGTTGGAATTCTGTGGGTTTCTGAGAATATGAGATGAATAAAAAGAGCCCAAATTCTTGGATTCTTCTTCTTAGGCCTACAGTAGACAAAAGGATCTTAGCAGCCATGTTCTGCTGTCAAGCTTGTAGCTCATGTCCAAACTATGGCTTACATATGCCTTGACTGGTTTGAAATGTTTACAAGTAGGTCCTACCTAGTGGCACAAGGGGTTAAGTCTCAGGACTCTGAAGCTATCAAAAGCCACTAAAACATGGGTTTAATCCCCAGCCAGGGAGCTGACCCACATGGCACAACAGATCTCTTCTGGCCCGCTTACTGCTCCCCTCAGCAGTGTATTTAAATAGATCTGCCTGTCTTGCTCCCCACTCTGGTACCCATCCCACACTTGTAGTCTACCACCCCCAGATCTTATATGCATATATAAAGAAAATAAATCTTTTAAAAAATAAAAATAATAAAATGTTTGTGAGGAAGAAGGCCAGGACTGTACACCTACCAAGATTCCCAAACACAGCTGGCTTAGGTGTAATGACGGTCCCTATGTTCCCAACAACTTGTTGTGCAGCAAAACACACTTGCCAAGCAAAGAAAGGGGCCCTCTGCCTTTTGCCAGGAAAGCCTATCCATTCCTATCAGACTCACCTGCTCCAAAAAGCAAATAGCCATAACTTCCTTTAAACTAATTTCAGCCATAACTGCCCTTCAACTAACTAACTGACATCCTCCATGGTTAAGAAAATGCTTTATTTCTTTTGATTAATTCTTTATGCCCCAAAGTTAAAAGATTTCAGATTTGGGTCCCTCCATGGTGGTGCAGCAGGTTAAAGAACAGCACTAAGAGCTAAAGCCACATTAGCATGAGTTTGATCCCCGCCCTGGAAGGTGACCACATGGCATGGCAGACCTCTCCTGACCTGCCCGCTGCTCCCCTCAGCAGTGTACTTGGCCTGTTCTGCTTTCCACTCTGTCTCTGGTGAAGCCTCTCACTGCTCCTGCACTTCTGGTCTGTACCCCAGTTCTGTATGCATAAATAAATAAATCTTTAAAAAAAAAAAGTTTTCAGATTTGACCTAAAGATCAAATTCCTGCCTATAAAGAGGTATGTTGTAATTTTGTGTTGTTTAAAAAATGTTGCTGTAATTGAATAGCTCTTGGAATTACTGATGATTTGCTAATTAAATAAAATTAAGAGACTTATTGTCAGAACAATTCCCAATGGATTGCTAATATTCCTGCATTTCTTGTGAAACTAATTGCTGACTACCTTTTCTTCCAGAATAATGTGTCAAAATGTTTGCATAGAAAACATTCTTTAAATATAGATAATGTCTCTTTTTGCAATAAATGGTAGGCAAACCCAGAATATTAAAAATACTGCCTTTGGGGTCTCTATGGTGGCCTGGGGCTAAGTCTCAGGCTACACCTATGGCATAAGTTCAGTCCCCGCCATGGAGGTGACGAACATGTCTTAGAAGACCTCTCCTGTCTCCCGACTGCTCCCCTCAGCTATATATTTTGGTTAGCCCACCTGTTCTGCTCCCCACTCTGTTTCTGGTGAATCCTTTTATCCTTCACACACCTCTAACCTATGCCCCAGTTCTACTATGCATAAATACATTTTTAAAATCTTTTAAAAAAGAATAATGCCATCTTCTGAAGCAGAAGGCAGTTTTACATCCTGTTCACTGCAAAAAAAAAAGGTTTGAAGCTCCTTTCTTATAACCCAGCCCACTGCCCCTGTTAGCAGCTTTCTGATTGGCCTCAATGGGAGAGGCAAGGGAATCCACAGATATGTTAGATACACCGCTTGCTGTGCTATACATAAGAAAAATTTTTTTAAAAAAAGAAGCCTTATGTTCACTGTCGTTTCAAGATTTTTTTAAATGTTCTTTCTCCAAGTGAGCATCAGCACCAAGTTCTAGAAATGGCAATCCTGAAAATAGTTTTATGATTTTGTGAAATAACCTTAGTTGTTTTACCTTGTGAATGCATGTGTGTGTGTGTTTGTCCATTAACATAAACACTTCCAAATAATTTCTAGAGACAAGGAAATTCTGATACATGAGAATGACTCAATACTCCCTTTTTCTAGCCTACTCTTTATTTTTTTTAAAGATTTACTTATTTATGCAGAACATAAGATTTACTTATTTATACAGAACAGGGGTAGAAGCCAGAGGAGTAAGAGCAGCGAAAGGATTCACCAGAGACAGAGTGGGGAGCGGAACAGGCAGATGGATGAAGTACACTGTTGAGGGGAGCAGCAGGATGGGTCAGAAGAGGTCTGCTGCACCATGTGAGTCACCTCCGGGGCTAGGAATCAACTCACGCTGAAGTGGCTGCGGCCAGCTTTGCAGTGCTGTGCATTAACCCATTTTGCCACCAGGGAGGACCCTCTTCTAGCCTATTTTACTGAAATAATTATTCTAAAAGCAACTAGAATTTAATTATTTAAGACCTGATAGTGACATGTGAAATTTCTGATAAATTCATTTTATACCTATCCCACATAAATATATATAGATTATGACTAATTGAAAACCGGGGTAATGAAGTTGAAGCTATTCAGTATATCACCTATAGATATCGTTTCTCAAAACAAAGCACATATTTTTCAAAGATTTAATTGCTACCTACCAACAGTTGTGCCATTGGGCTGTATAATGTTGTTTGTAATTATGCCAATGAAAGGGTTTGTCCAATATTCACCATAGGTATGGTGATAAAAGCTAAAAGTGGGGGTTGTAACCAGAGACTGAGGTCAGGGTCTATGGCAGGTGGTGCCCCTCCCTGAGGGGGTTGCTGTGAAGACAAAAACAGCCTCAGGGGTAAAGTTAAAAAGAATAGATTTTGAGGAGGGGCTGCCTTGGAGAGGAAATAGTAGTGATTGGAGCAGAAAGAAAGAAGAAAATTTTTTGTTTGTCCAGGCTCCAAGATTCAAGATTTGAGTTTCAGGTTTGGAGTTGCTTCAGCATTTTAGGGACCAGTGGATTTGAGCCCCAGAACGGCTGATCTTAGAGAAGGCCATTGAGGACTTACAAAGGTGGAGGCCAGGGGAAGAGGATTTGCATGTAACCAAGATACTGAAAAGTTCCCTGGTTTTTGCTGTGGATATAGCCTGCCCTAACTATATGAGTGAGACCATTTGTTGGATCATTTTGGTGGCTGAGACTGATATTCTGAGTGTGGCTTGTCTGGTGCTGTGCTGGAGAGTCCTACAGCTCTGAGAACATCTCCTATCATGTCTTCTATTGCCTTCAGGAGTTGGGATCTGGTTTAGAGACTGGCTTCTCTACCAGTTCAGCAGAGGAGGAAGACAACATCTTAGACACGTGGCCTGTTGTTTGGGAGAGAAGCTGCACATCCTCAGTCAGGGGGAGATGCCATCGTAATGGTCTTTGTGCAAGATAGTCATGGACATGACTTTGGCCTTAGAAACTGTTTATCCTGCTTGTTAAATAAATCCCTTTGCTATTTTCTAAACCTGAGCAGACTTACAATTATGTGCACAGTCTGGAACCCAGACAGTATTTAGTAAAGTATTTGTTAACAGGGCCTCAGTCAGTTTAGGGTCTCCTGACACCCAGTATCATAATTAGCACCTACAATGTGCCTGCACACATAAGGCTAAAAAGAGAAGAAAAAGTCATAGTCAAATGGCCCCAAACTTGGAGGCATAGATATATAAATCAAACAATTGCAGAAAACTAGCACATAATAAAGTGATAATTTGAGTGATACAGATAAACAGAAGTTTGAAAAACAGGGAAGGCTTTGTAGATTTCAGGGCCTAGAAAATATGTGGCAAATATTAACAAAACAAATAAACAAACAAACAAACAAAAAGCATTACAAGTGACAGGTGGTGACAAAAAAACATGTGGGAAGTAAGTGGTAAGTTTCAGAATTTAGAATTAAAAAAAGACTAATATAACTTATTCCAATTTCATGTGAAGGAATAGATCCCACACAGGTTTAATGATTTAACCAAAGTCAGCAGTTGCTTTTTGTCAAACTCATGACGGGAGCCCAGGTATTCTGTCTCTGAGTTTAGTAGTTTAAAGTTATGTAACATGAAATATTAAAAATATGAGCTAGAGAGTAACATTTCACAAAACAGGAGTGTAAATTTAAATTCCAGGACCTGATTCCCTTGAGCACTGAAACAGAGCTTCTCAAAATTTTATATGTACATAAATCACCTGCACACTGATGTGAAAATGCAGGTTTTCTTTCAGGAATCCTAATATTCTACATTTCTAACAGCTCTACCTTGCTAGTGTTCTCATAGGATCACAGTTTAAATAGCAAGATACTAGAATGCACTGAATAGCATACTGCTATCATCTTATACTCTAGAGAATCAAGCTCTCATTCTTATAATTTGGTAGAGAAGTTATCAGCTTCAGCAAAGAGGTGTCCTTTCAGTTTCACAGGGGATCAATTAATTTCTGAGGCAGAGGGCTTCTCATTATCTGGTACACCATTGCTGCAAACTACTAGAAGCATTAACAGTATAAAATCTTGTGACAAGTGTTCTAATCACAAAGCAACCACACTGAAAATATTCCCTTTGCTTATAGAAAATGCTAAGGGTTATTATAACTTAACAGTGAAGCAATATTATGAGAGCTTAAAAAATACAATGTAATATACCATCTTCAAATCCATGGAAATTCCATAATATCACTACCCTACAATCAAA